TTACCCTCTTTCGGAGCCCACCTGATCTCAGAAAAATTTAGTGCAACAACCTCCGTCAAAGACGATGTAGAACCAAAAGAGAACATGATCAGTGTTAAGGAGCGAATTTTGGGAGAAGGATTTGATTGTGAACATAGTCGAAAAGAGGTGATGGGGAACTTCAATATGAGCTTGCCTCAAAAGAAATCACCACAAGGGGCGTCTTATTCAAAACGCCACAATGGACTTATTCACTAACCCAAAAGAAAAAAAGACTATAAGAGAAAAGAGGGAGGAGGGGCAGTGACGCTTCCTCCTCTATCAATGGAGTTTTTCGTTTGAGACTCACATAAGGAGAGAACGCCTAGGGTTTTTTTTTTTTTTTTTTTTTTTTTGGGTTACAAAATATAGCTCATGAATCGAATACTTTGTTACCTAGTTGAATTAAAAAGCAAAAAAATGGTGTATGATATGATTATTGGGTTTTATGCCAATTATTAAATGTTATTTGGATAGAAGTTACAATGAGTTATAATTTTTTTTTTCAAAAAGCTACTTATAAACTATAAGGAGATAAGTTGCAGAAAGATTTTTTTTCAGCGAAAGCTGCACACAGAGGGATGCCATTAATATTAAACCTGCCACAGCTCGTCTACTGTGGGGTCTATTTATTGAGCCCAGAAGACTTGACAGTTATATGGTCTGGATAAGAGTTGGTGCATCGATACAAACTATTGGAGCAAAATATTTACCATTTCTTTTTATATTTTCATTAGTTTTATTTCTTATTACAATAGGGTAAATATATAAATTTGGACCCTATTGAAAACGTTATGTAAAAAGAAAAAGGTAAATTTGTCTAAATTAGGATTAAAGAGATATTTAGTGATATATTCATTCTTAGCACTAATAATATAGATAAACCTTACACCATTGAATTTCTATAAACAAACCCAAAAAATGACAGTTGGCCTGACCCTCTTGAATTTAAGTTTAATTATTAAATTACTTTGATACCCTATTGAGTATTTTGGATTTTTTATGAGATTTTGGGTTTAGACTTGTTATAAGAAGTTAAAAGCCTATTTGTTATGTTGTAAATGAGTTTTAAGTGTATTTATAAAGTCCATTTTATTTTAGAAGTTGGGCTCCTATATTGGGTATAATAGTGAATCTCCCATAAAATAAGTGTGAGATTGAGCCTAAATTAAAGATTAAAACGAGATCAAAGTATATAAATTTTGTCCTTTTTTTTTTCTTCTTTGATTTTGATTTTAATCTTTTGTGCCTGTAGTTTTTATTGTCACCATTGCCATTGCAATAAAATATCCAGACATGTGTTGAAGACATCGCTTTCTCTCCTCCTAAATTGGTGAAACATTTATAGGTGGATGGGGTTAAACCCAAAAGATATCTAGTTAGTAGAAAGTATTTATCAACTTGGCGATCCATTCACTCGTTTTCTTTTCTAGACCTTGCTGATCATTATAATATATACATGTGTATGTTTTTCAATACGTTTGCCCTATACACCACATGATCGTGTTTCAATATGATATAATAATTAGTTTGTTGAAACAATCATAAACTCATGTGGACAATCTTCTCGTATTGTATTAGTATTGGAATCACTCACTGCATTTTGTATTTTAATTTGTCAACTTTCCGAAGTGAGATTTTAAATAATTCAAAAATATTATAATATTGTCAACTCAAATTAATGTTGATAAAGCTTGACATGTTTATATGAAGCATACCATGTAAGCTTATTGGGAAAGAGAATATCTTCCCCGGTTTGCATGATGGCAGCAACAAAGTGAAACTAATTTGAGATGAGTTTATGTGGATATGTTATAATTTATTTAGACGCATATGTTAGGTTTGTTTAAGTGATGATATAAATGTTTTATAATTTTTTTCAAAAGATAAAAGTTGAGTTAGGTCGCTTTCAATAATCAAGAAACAAAATTCAAGCCTCTTCAAAACAAAACCAAATCAAACCATTTTCGAATTTTAAAAAAAAAATAAAGAAAGGGAACAAAAAAGGTCGAAGGAAGGAAGTAGATAGAGAAAAGAAAATGGTGATAAAAGGCTATGATGATCCTCTCTGCTCCAAACTGATGAAAACTCGACACGGCAAAACAGATAGTGGGCCCCTCATTTAATTACCATAACCGTGTTACAGAGAGAGAGAGGCCTGGCCATTACCCACAAGGCCACACAGGTCACCAACAGCCAAGCCAAGCCACAGCGTATGAGGAGAAAGAGTTCCCTTCACAATTCCTCCACAGTCCTAACTAGTTGGACACAGAATTTCCATTGCCTTGTGGCAATAATAATTAGGGTGAGGCTGGACAAAATGGTAATTTTGAGAAAGAGAAACTGATCCACTAATCAAGTCCCTCTGCAGAAGCCACCTCATTACTCTCTCACTTGATCCTCCTCCTCCCTCCCTCCTTCCCCCTCTTCTCTTCTCACTCTGCTTTTCACCTTTTAGCCTCTCTCTCTCTCTCTCTCTGCATCTCTCTCTCTCTTCTAAGCAAACTGGGAAAGAAAGAAAACCCACCCCATTGTTTCCATCAATGTGACTATTTGAGTGTGTCTCAGTCTCACTGTGATCTTATATATGAGCT